TGTTAGAACTCATTCTGGTTTGTTTTTATGAAGAGGTCCTTTTAATAGGAGTTCAAGTTGGGTAAGTAATATGTAAATATGAAGTGACCCCAGTGTAGTTTTTTCAAATGCCTGTAAGCACCAAGGGAGTCCTGGTGTGGCACTGTGGGCTAATGTGTCAGACTGCAAAACCGTTTGAACTGCAAGATTGGTGGTTCAAGCTCACCAGCCGCCCCTTGGTGGTGAGGGTCACTATGGGTCAGAATCAACTCAATGGTACTTAACAATAAGCAACAAGAGCCCCTGGCTGGCACAGCTAAGTGCTTGACTACTAACTGAAAGGTTGATGGTTTGAATCCACCCAGATGCATCTCAGAAGAAAGGCCTGGTATTCTGCTTATGAAAGGTCATAGCCTTGAACAACATGTGAATCACAGTTGTTCTCCTCTAAACACAGGGTTGGCATGAGTCAGAACCAACTCTGCAGCAATGAGCTAAGTCTGTTAATTTTTAAAAATAAGTAGCAGGGTAGGGAGGAAGTTGAAATCAGCTACCAACAGAGCCTGTAAACAATTTTACTGAAGATCACTGACTATGGAAATGTTGTTAAGTGCCAGAGTCGGTTCTGACTCATAGCGACCCTCTACGGTGCTTCCGAGAAGCAGCTGATGAGTTTGAACCAACCGACGTTGTGGTTGAGTGCTTATCCTACAGAGCCACACCAGGACTCAAATGCAAATAGAAGACTTTTATTTTGCCCTCAGAAAATTTAGTATCTAAATCATCCAAGAATATTTTGCAGAATGTTTAAGGGGATCAAAACGATTTCCCTTACTACAGGATAGGCCTATGATGAGGATTTCCCAAGCACCAGATGCTGCAAACAGCAAAAAATAAGCAGTTCTCCTGGCTTCTGTGAAATCATCGCTAGTAAACACGAGTTATAAGTTAACTCAGACTTAGCAACTCTGCCGCTGAGCAAATGCCTTTGTCTTATCTAGTCACAAAGTCATACATTTTAATATGTGTTCATAAGACACTATGCTAAGAAATTCATAAAAATTAAGTTTTTTTGACAGAGTGAGCAAATATATATGAGTCATTTCTTTAAATAAAAAGCAGGCAAGGTGTAAGAAATAATCAAGGTTATATACAGATAAAAACAAAAAACCCATGTTGATTACAACCCAAAAGTTGAATTAAATGTCTGATACATTTCTTTTACTAAGCAATCTTTCAAGTAATAGACAGATTTTCAGTCAATTTAGCTAAGAAATAATCTCACTAAGATTTCGGCAGAAAGTCTCAAAATCCCTTTCATTTTTGTTTTTAAACATCATTTAAAATATCTTTCTACATATTTTTAAGAAGGTATTTCCAGTTCTGAAAGAAACAAATAATGGAAATTTGTTGTACTCCAATAAGAGATAAGGGAAGGACTACACCATTGTGAAAAGAAATTGATTATGGTGTGGTTTTTGTTTTTTCCAATCCCTGCCTTAGCTATTATTTTTTTTCAACATATGTAAGCTTTTGTAACAAAGATAACATGTATATCATCTTATACTAATTGCTGATTACTGCCGAGTTCCATCCAGTGGATTCTGACTCATATCAATCACGTGTGTATTGGAGTAGAACTGTGCTCAACAGGGTTTTCAGCGACTGGTTTGTCAGAAGTAGATCACTGGGCCTTTCTTCCAAAGCACCTCTTGGTGGATTCAAACCTTTCACGTGGAAACTAACTATGTTAACTGTTTGCACCACACAGGGACTCCTACAACTGGAACACGAATCATTTTTCAGTATACTCAGAATACAGCCCTTGTTGCATGTTGAAACAAGGACTAACTCACTGAGAAAATCATTTGGAAAACAATAAAGAAGAAATGGATTTCCTAGTCAAGTAACAGAAGCAACAAAGAATTCATTTAAGTTTTTGAACTTGTCCCAATAATAATCTTATCTTTTCATTTCTCTAGTGCCTTTTAATTTATAAAGGACTTCCTCTTGTTCATGTTGGTTTATGAAGTAGACAGAGCATATGTTATCTGTATTTACCAGACAGGGAGAGGGAAGATCAGGAGGGTTAGGAACATATCTTACTCTAAGACTGATGTTGACAAACTATATGGCCATAGTCTACCCGTGGCTAGTTTTCATATGGCCTATAGATTAAGAATAGATTTTACATTTTGCAAACACAGTTGCCAAATGAGGCACGCGTGTTCCTTTTACGTATTTTCTATGCCTGCTTTTACACTACAAGCACAGAGTTAAGCAGTTACGACACAGCAAAGTCACAAATATTTACTCTCTGGCCCTTCACAGAAAAAGGTTTCTGACTCCTACCCTAGACCCACAAAGAAGCCATGAGCAGAGCCCAGAGTGGGGATTCAGCGCATTTCTTCTGCCTCTCCGTAAGTCATTTCAGGATGCAGTTCAGACAGGTATATGTGTGAGAAATAAGAGGTAGTCTGTGAAGCATGAATTTTGTTACTTGCAGTAGAGGCATTGAGCTCAGAGCCAGATGGGGCAGATGAGGGGACAGGAGATCCCATTGACTAAAGTAAGTGGCCATGACATACAAAGAATTCAGATCAAGAAGCAATGGTGGAATGTCAAACCCTAGAAAAACTTTTTTGCTTTAAATATAAAATCAGAGCTCCTTTGAAAGACCTGGAGGGGGGAAATCCAGAGGCCTTAATTCGTAAATCTGATTGGGTTTTAGAAATCCACGATGCCAAGTAAATAAGAACTGGCTTACACTTTGAACTTTTTCTCCCCAGTAGTTCTGGTAGCGTAGTGGTTACGAATCGGGCTGCGAACCTTAGGGTCAGCGGTTCGAAACTACCAGCTGCTCCGCGGGAGAAAGATGAGGCTTTCTACTCCCGTAAGGATTTACACCCTCGGAAACCCTATACAGGGTCGCTATGGGTCGAACCCGACTCGATGGCACTTAACAACAACAACAGTTCTATTTACAAATAAAATTTCCAATTCCCATCCCTGAACTCCAAGCCTTCCCCAGTCACCACCCCAAGACTGATAAACAAAACATGTTTTACAACTAGGGAAGATAGCTTAACTGGAAATATGATGAAGCCATGCCTGCCCATTACCCTTCTCTGAAATAATCTTAAATCTCTTAATAATCTTAAATACCTTACTTTGTAAAATAATAGGACATGGTGATTAACAAAGAATTTTACACTTTCAAAATTAGTATGATGAAAATACTTAAAAGCAATGTTACAAATGAGTTATCACAGGCATTTCCAGAATCTTCCAACGCACCTTTCAGGTAACTTGGCACACACTGTGGAGAACTCATCCCAGGCTGTTTTCAACACAGAACTAAACACAAAACTATTGAAGGTCAAAACTATAGACAATCTATGTTTCTTCATTTCCTCAAAACTGTGAGGTTCCTCAGACGTGATATTCTAGACATGAATGAATGTAAGGGTAAGCCTGCAATTTGGTACATACGATGTAACTCGGTTACTGAGTAATAAAAGTTTAAATTCTTTAACTATTCTGAAACTCTTTGTACATCATGTATATAAAATACATGACTACAGGTGCCAAAATCTCACGGTATGTTTACTTTGGGTCCATAGCAATGCCAGTGCTGTGCTGGAGTTTCAGTATCCAAACTCTTTCTAATAAACACCCGAGCAATTCATCTGATATAGAATTTATCACTTTATTATCCTATTGTATCTTCGTATGAATTACTTTAAATAAATTCTATTTCTAATCTAGAGTCTTAATGAAGTCATACATAGGGTTATTTTCATGTGGATTTGCATTCCAATGTAGCATAGACCATTTTATCTGTCTCATTTTTCTACCGATCTATCTCATTTTCTTATAGTCTTAAATACATTTGTATTTTAAGTAAACATGATAGGAAAGCAAATTGCAGCCTTACCGCATCGTTTCATGAGGGCACATTGCTAGTTGGGGCCCATAAGCATTGCTCTTATAAACTAACAGTTAGCTCTGAAAACAAACTAAGAAAACTCACTGACTTTTTTTGAGCAGCTAACAGGGAATGTATTAAAATATTTCCTAAAACTAAGAGTTCCTGAAAACCTGACCATTGTAAAACCCAACATCTTCACTGCTCCAATGAAGTAATTAACTTAGCATTGTTGTTGTTAAGTACCATGGAGTCAGTTCTGATTCATAGTGACCCTGCACAGGGTTTCCGAGACTGTAAATCTTTATGGAAGCAGAAAGCCTCATCTTTCTCCCGTGGAACCTCTGGTAGTTTCGAACTGTTGACCTTGAGATTGGCAGCCCAACTTATAACCTCTATGCTACTAGAGCTCCTTAGCATATAGCTTATAGCATATAGCTTCCTTTTCTCAGCACCTAAAAATGACCAACTAAATAAACACACACACTTTTGAAGCCCTAGACAATAGGAGCAGTACACTTCTAGAATTCCACCACAATTGAATTCTTGCAGAAATAAGACTGCAAAAACCAAAACCAGTTGCCATGGAGTTGAGTCTAACTCATGGCAACCCGTGTGTTTCTGAGTTGAACTGCACTCTACAGGGTATCACGTGGCTGATTTTTTTCCCCAGAAGTAGATCACCTGACCTTTCTTTCAAGGTGTCTCTGAGTGGACTCGAGCATCCAACCTTTTCAGTTAGCAGCCATTTATGTCAAATAAGACTGTGGAGGTGGTAGTGATATGCCGCTGAGTTGGTTCTGATTCAAAGCAACCCTGCATATGGTTTCCTAGGAAAGCTTCATCTATTTCCCATGGGGTGGCTGGTAGATTCCAACTGCTGACCTTGTAGCTCTAACTAAATCCTTGAGAGCAATGATGGGAAAGGGTGGCACTCTCTTCATAGTCCTTTGGGGTATCTCCTCCCGAGTTTGAACTCAAGAGCTTCTTCTGTACTCTTCCCAGAATAAACTAAACCTTTTCATTCAAACATAAATGGTAGCCAGAATAAGAAGACATTCTAAAACAGGGCATACACTCGAAAACATGTTACCTTATTCTGTTCACACACATAGTGTATCCTGAGGGTTTCCATAGCTCGGATCATGGCTTGCATGGCGGTGAATATGTTTTGGTAAACCAGCTTTGTGAACCCTCTTCTGTCTTCATCACTGTAACCAGATCCATGGATAATTCTCATCTGCTTGATAAAGGTGCTTTTTCCACTTTCACCAGTTCCTATAAGAAAAACAAACAAACAAACAACAAAGAAGCACAATCAGCAGGTTTCAAAAGCGAAGTGCTGGGAGAGCAAGGGCCTCCTGACAGCTCCCAAAAGTCCCTGGTTATTACTGGTGTTAAGTGCCATCCAGTCAGTTCCAACTCACAGCGACCCTGTATAGGGTTTCCAAGGAGCAGATGGTGAGTTGGAACTGCAGACCTTTGGGTTCAAACTGACCTTGCGGTTGAGTGCTTATCCTGTGGCACCACACCAGAACTCCTAGGTGCTCTGTTGTTGTTAAGTGCTGTCAAGTCGTTCCAACTCATAGTGACCCTGTAGAGGGTTTCCAAGGAGCAACTAGTAAGTTTGAACCACTGCCCTTGTGTTAGCTTCAGTCTATCTAGTTGGTCAGATTCACAGCAGCCTCATGCACATTGGAACAAAACATTGCTCAGTCTTACGCCATCCCCCTGATCAGCTGCAGAGAAGACCACTGTGAACCATAGATTTCCAGGCCTTACTAATAAGTCCATCTTAGTCTGGAAGCTGCATTGAAACCGGTTCAGCATCAGAGCAACATGCAAGCCTCTACTGGTGGTAGTTGTGCATGATGCATATTGGCTAGAAATCAAACCTGAATCTCCTGCGTAAAAGGCAAGAATTGTATCACTGAACCATAAATTGTCCTCTGCCTGCCAAATGCTGTTGTGTTGTTAAGTGCTGTCAAGTCATTCCAACTCATAGCGACCCTGTATGAAGTTTCTGAGGAGCAGCTGGTGAATTTGATTGCAGTTGAGGGCCCATCCTACAGTGCCACAACAGACACTTAAAGGAAGGAATGAAAGAATGAATGGAATGAACATAAAATGTCACAATGGTCCCCCATAGTTCTTTTTACCGTGGGCAACTTCTGAAAGATGCAACATGAATTGTTCAGGGATGACTGTGTTGGACCAAGTAGTCATGGAAAGCAGCTTCACAATGGCTCTTGGTTTACCAGACCCCATAGGACAATGTGAGAATGTGAGAAGAGCCAACATGGCCACAGCTTGGTCTCATGTTCAAGGTGAAATCAATCTGTACTACTTCAGCATATTGGGAGGGGAGGGGAGCCCTGAATTAACTACTATACAGCAAGGCTTTCTTTTCCCCATCTCAGCAGAGCTGGTCCAGTGATACCTTACACAAGGAAACATTAATGTGTCTGCATTTCACACAGAAGAAAGTGAGTGGATCGGAGAAATTATGAAGTGACTTCAAGTCAAGATGCGTGGTTGGCCCTGAAGTCAGAAAAAAAAAATTAATTCAGCCCAAAATTCTACATACAGGGAGAGAGCCGTTTTGGTGATAAAAGCCAGTCACTTTCAAAAGTTAAAAGATAACTGCATCTCCAGCCCCAACTTTGTTTTCCCCCAGTTACTAAATCTTATTTTTGAACATGGAATATTTCAAAAAGAAAGTGATAGCCAAGACTATTTTAAAAGAAGATATAAATGTATTCGACAAGTGTCAATGTTTTAAAATACTTTTCAGTTCTTTATTGTGGTTATTTGAAGAGGTTTGTTTGTTTTTTTAATGTGTATTTAAAAAAAAAAAAAAAAGGAGGGGGGAATTAAAAGCAAAGAAGACAGACTTAAAGACTCACAATATGGAGGTCTGAGGTCGAGAGAGAACAAAGATAGTCCATGTAGGGAATGTCCCATCTCTCACTTCTTGTTGTTAAGTGCCATCGAGTCTGGTTCCAACTCATAACAACCTTGTAAAAGGTGTCTGAGGAGTAGCTGGTGTGTTTGAACTGCCAACCTTGTGGTTCAAACTGACCTTGTGGTCCAGTGCATTATCCTGCAGCACAACACCAGGACTCCTTCACTAAAGCCCCATCAAAGTCCAGTTAACATCTTGTCTTTCCCCCAAAACTAAGAATTAGAGATATTACAGCAGTTACCCAAGGTCACTCAGCATTTTATTTCCCTTCATAGCATTTTCATTGTTTAATTTTTTTTAACTTTTTACTGTGATTTGGTTTGAAAGTTTACAGAGCAAACTGGTTTTGCAACGTTGATTGCAATGTAACAGCACTCTTAGGTAAACACTTCCTCGCTGTGCTTACCATTTCCATTGGCTCTTTTTTCCTATTCCTTCCTATCTTCTGAACTTTCAAACTCAAAACCAAACCCACTGCCATAGCGTCAATTCCGACTCTATGTAGGGTTTCCAAGGCTATACATCTAAATGGGAGCAGTCTCATCTTTCTCCTGAGGTACAGCTGGTGGGTGTGAATGGCCAGCCTTGTAACTAGCAGTCCAGTGCTTATGCTATAATGCCTCCAGGACTCTCTTGGTTAATTGTTCTGAGTGTGGACCTCCCTGGGGTTACTGTTCACCTCATAGGGCTATTATTTGGCTGAAACTTGAGCCACTGGGGAGAGTTCAGTACCAGGGTTAACTAAGGGCCCTGGTTTGAACTGCATGGTCAGCAGTACAAGCTCCCCAGCTGCTCCTTAGAAACCTTATACATGGTCATTATGAGTTGGAACTGACTTAACAGCATTTAACAACAATAACAAAGGCCCTAATATGGCTTCCTGGTGTGGTGTTGTAGGATCAGCATTGGACTGCTAACCACAAGTTGGTGGTTCAAACCGACTAGCTGCTCCCTGGAAACCCTATACAAGGTCACTATGAGTCAGAAGATTCGCCAGCACTTAACAACAACAACAAGGGCTAGAGTCTCAGGAGTTTCATCAATTTTTATTAGACCAGTAAGTCTGGTGATTGTGGTTCTGTGCTGTGGAGTCGGTTCTGACTCATAGCGACCCGGCATAGGGTTTCCAAGGCTGTAAATATTTATGAGAGCAGAAAGCCTCATCTTTCTCCCTTGGTGGTTTCAAACTGCTGACCGACCTTGGGATTAGCAGCTCAACTCATAACTACTACGTCATCCGAGCTCTTCAGTAAACCTAGTCTTTTTAATGAGTTTGCATTCTGTTGTACATCTTTCTCCACTCTATCCAGGATCTTCTGTTGTGATCCAGGATGACTGTGGTGTCAGTTGCAGTAACCAGCACCATCTATTTCTTCTAGTCTCCAGGTCCTGGAGGTTGAGATTCACATGGTTCAAAGAAAGTCTTTGACTTTCTTCACTCTTTCTTCATTTGCACTAGGAGAGACCAACAGTTTTACCTTAGAGGTCCTCTCACAAGCTTTTAACATGCCAGGTGTTACTCATCAAAGTGAGATCTAGAATAGTGTCATTTTTAAGTGTTGAACTTGGATCTAAATGCATACTGGTCCATGTATCTCCCATAATAACATCATGTGCTGATTTTACACTGGGTGTTTCCCTTAATAAATGACTCCACTAACACCTCTCCTATCTGCTGAAGCGTGTCTTCACCTGGTACCAAGATCCCAGCACTTGGGATGTTATCTTTGAGCCTGCAAGCTCTGCTCTTAATGAGATAACTTGGGGTGGGGGAAGGAAAGGAGGAGTTAAGCGGGAAAGGAAGGAAAAGAGGAAGGAAGATGACTCCAGGGATCAAGTGAAATCACTTCAAGGATCTGAGTCTCCTTGCCTAATCCAAGCAAAAACTCAATACTCTGATATTAAACACAATTACTCATTTATTCAGTGACAGTAAAAGAAGCATCTTGGTATGGATTTTAAAAAGAAAATTACTGGTGAATGGAGGATTATATGAATTGTGGGCTTTGGGTCACTAGCATAGGTCAGCTCTGCCCTCTTTCTGTTTTTAACTCTTTGTGAGTATTTTTTCACCTGCCCCCAACCAAAATCCCCACAGGGTGGGGGCAACACTACAGCTGAAGCATCTATAGTTCTCAAACAGAGCGTGAGCCATCACCCTAGGAGCAACTGTTTGGGACAAAGAGAAAACCTTTGGTTGGAAGATGAACTTTGGTGTCAGGTTATTAAGGGATTTACTCAGAGGCTACAGGGAATACAATGATACAGAAGAAGGGCTTTGCTTCTGGACCCAACACTGTCAAAACAGAGGAGAGGAAGGAGAAAGATTACAAATCCACTTCATAGATTCTGTGCTAAATACAAGGGAAATAGCTCTTCTCCCTCTTTTATTTTTGCTTTACGCTTTTCCTGTTTGAAGAAAAAAAATCCAGCCATGATTATGCTGTTCAATGCCATCAACTTGGTTCCCTATAGACCCATATAGAGTTTCTGAGGAGCAGCTGGTGGGTTTGAACTGCCGACATTGCGGTTAGCAATATAGTGACAAGTACTTTTACACTTTCCTAGTCAATAAAGATATGTTATGTTTGAAGTGGTTCAGCAGTAGATTTCTTACCTCCAAACCAGGAGATCCAGGTTCAAGTCCCATCCCAAACGTCATAAGTATAGCCATCACCCATCTGTCAGTAAAGGATTGTATATTGCTATGACACTGAGCAGTTTTAGCAGAGGTTGTAGACTAGGAAGAAATCCCTGGTGATTGACTTCTGAAAGCCAGCCAATGAAAACACTATGGATCAGATGCATCCATTCTGTTGTGCACAGGCTCAGTGAATACGGGCCGACTTCATGGCAGCTAACAACCATGGGTGAGACAAAGAGTTAACACACTCAGCTGTTCACTAAAAGTTTAGAAGTTTGAGTCCACCCAGAGGTGCTGCAGAAGAAAGGCCTGGAGATTTATTTCCAAAAAATCAGCCATTGAAAACCTTACGGTGCACAGTTCACCTATGACACATATGGGTTGCCATGAGTCTAAGTTGATTCCACAGCAATTGGTATGTATGTATGTATGTATGTATGTATGTATGTATGTATCTATCTATCTATCTATCTATCTATCTATCTATCTATCTATCTATCTACTTATACATCTGAGGTACTTGGCTTTTCACCACCTTACTGAAACTGCCTTCTATTAAAAAAAAAATTGGCAGGTAACTTCTGTGTGAGGCTTCTTGGCTGGGAACAGGTATACTCCAGAGGGTTGATGTCTTTTTCATTGCAGGAAATAAAACTGCTCTTAAAACCA